ATATATATATATATATTCATATTCGTTTTGAAAATAATAGATCATATAATACCAGGCCACCCAATAATATCGACGAATTTCTTTATTGGAGCAAGCTACCGAGAGAAGAATTCTCAAAATGACATGGGCTCTATAGCGTCTTTCCTTTCTAGGGTAGACAATTAGAACTTGTATTCAGGCTTTCTAGCTTATTGGCACAAACGATCTTGAAATCAACAATCATAATATATATATATATATATAATCAGCAATGTTCATATCAAAATTTATGACAGAGTTGTATCAATTTACATGAAAAGTTCATCAGTATTTTCTGTCGCAGTAGAATCAGACATTGAAGATATTTTCGGCTCTCCAAGCTCAGCAAATCAAATTCAGCTTTACAATCAACAAGTTGCTAGTTTGGCATCTTGTTCACCATACTTCCGTCTCATTGACGATCGCCAAACAATCTGCCCAAATCCAATCCTCGGCTTTCCACAGCAGGACTGGGTTCGCTGTGGTTTGGTAAGGCTGCAGTGCACATAGTCTAAATCCGTGGTCCCCTGCAAAACACATGTGTCAAGGCTCTGCCGCGATCAGTGGCCTTTCCCACCTTGCCGCGGGTGCAAGGCTTCGACAACAGAGTGGAACAGAGCGCAACAGTTCTGCAAGACTTCGAAATCTCTATGCTGCCTAGAAGAGGCGGAAGAGGATTCCGAATCGGCGGAGGCGGAGGCGCGTTGCGTAAATCCTTCTGCAGGAACTTCCTCATGTTGTAGTAGGGCCGGAGCTTAACGTTGCTGTGAGATGCCAGTAGGAACTTGCCCATGAGCTCATCTGAACCCTCCAGCTCCTCTACACTGCCCACGTCATTCTCGATGAACCTTTCGCAACTTTCGCAGCATGAGGTGTCACGGATGTGCGCAGGTCTTGAGGTCTGAAGCTGCTGACAAACAAACATAAAAGAAGCTGGCAACCGACCGCAGCATCAAGGACCTAGGAACCAGGTGGACACGTGCTCAAGAGCGGACGGAAAGTCTGCGAGGTCTGCATGGTCTGCAAACTTTTCGAAGGTGCCGATCTTGGTCTTTGCATGCACGACCGCGTCGCTGAAGCACTTCATTGACAGCCCTATTTGCACGCAGTTCTTGGCCGAGTCGTGGCAATCATCGTTGCTCGCACAACTGCAACCTGAAGCCAGGTCCATACCAACAGACTCAGAGCGCTAGGGAACTTGTCAACTTCTTAGGGTGTTTGGGGCCAGTGCAGTCCAAGAACCCACTCCGTCGCACTTGGCTTTTTTAGTACGCAAGGCACGCCCGGAAGGAAGAGAAACTGACTGCTGGGCGGCGGCACCAACCACCAAAGCAAACACGAACGCTGCAGGCGACAATGCCATCTTGCGTGGCGTCTTCCAAAAGCCCGAGTAGTACAGTGTTAAACTATCACATGCATTCATTGGAAAAATCTGAACACAACGCTGTACGAGTACATGGCCGCCGGCTGCTTGAAACGGAAGCACACGGTGCATCGTGTCGCACAGTGGTCCAGTGAACGCATCTGAAACCATTCCAACAAGCTTATCAGGATTGCGCGTTCTCCAAATCAGGGTTGGCATCACAAATAAAGTAGAGTGCCAAGCTTTAGCAAAGGATCGCAGTATCAGAGGGTCACCCAAAGCTATGAAAGTGCAGCGGCTGCAATACCATCTTGTTCAGCCGTGGGATTCTCGGGCTCATGCCTCACTCGTTCTTCCCAGGCCATGATTGACCCAAGTCCAGGTTTTCGTGATCGGAATCAAGATCCGGGAGTCAAGAGTTGCAAACCCCAAAGACCCTGAAGATAGCCCTAAAGCAAAAGCTCTTGTTTTACCGCAGCCCTTGCATCCTGTCTGCGATGGACCAGTCGAGGCCCAGCTGGCAAAGGGCAAAGCTGAAGATTCCAGGCACGTTGCGTTTTCGTGTTTTCAACTTCGTCGTTCTGGTTGGAGAAGCTGTTACAGACTTTTGCAGACCCTTGCAGTGCGATACCGCAAACTGTAATGTACACTTGCGTCCCCGTAGGAGATTCACTCCCGGCCGTGGCCTCTTCCACGAAGAGGTTGGCGTTTTCTGCAACCTTTCAATCATCCCGCACATCCACTCAAACTCGTTGCTCAGACTGCCTTGCGACTCGGTAAGACTTTTTGAAAATCTGTGGTGGCCTGAAGCTTTGAGACTTCTAGTAAGCAGGCCTCACATGAACTCCAGAAGCAAGCCTGTGGGATGCCCCCGGCCTCCCGCACCGAGACGGCACCGTTCTCCTCCGCCCAATGAGCGATCTGTGCTGCCTGTCATCGAAACTTTTGCTCCGCAGCTTGCCAGGCCTTTGTCTTCGAACCTCATCTCTACATGCGAAGCTGCCTTAACCTTACCGGCGGTTCCTTCCCAGACCGTGTGCAGCGACCGAAGGCCTCTCACATCCCCATTGTGACCCAAACTCTCCCATTAATGCAAGCGCGAGGACACCCTGTCATGAGCTGGCCTCGTTTTCAAGGCCCACGCTGTGCAGCGCCTGGCTCTGCTATCTTCACAAACATGCCGGCTATGCCAGCTATGCACTCAAGAAGACTACCAAGTTATTTGCAATACGTTTTCTGCCTGCAACAGCCCCGGAACAGCTTCGGAATCTCCACCTGCGCATGCACGGGCAACGGCAGGGAGACGCGAAGGTACGGAAGCAGTATTAGAAGAAGCCACTGCTAACTTTGGCGTTCAACACACCATACAGCCTGCAGGGCCCCAGGAGACTTCCTCGCGAGCTGAAGCTTGGCAAGCGCTTTGCTCTTTTGGCGATGCAAAACTTCACCCTGCTCGGACCCCGCCGGGCCCATAGCCCCAGCTCTGCCCTTCGTGGCAAACTTACCTTTTTCTTGCAACCTGCAATTAGCAATGATGCGTTGTCATGGTACACCCTGTTGTCTTGTCGGTCCTGCGCTGGCGGTGCACCCCAGGCGACCTTCATGGCAACAGATAGCAACGGACTCAAAGTGAAGGCACCGACGCAATCGTATTTACAGCTTTCGTCGCTGCGAAACCTGAACATACTGCATAGTGACACGACGTAAGTGTTCAATCTGGGGGGCCTCGAAAGTTCCCGTGGCACTGGCACAATTTTTGTTTAACATTGGAAGCCACCCGGCCTCTGTTGCCTGCGGCGCATCTCCCCACAGGCCACCGTTCTCTCCATCCTGTCCAGCGCTTCACGCTTAGTATATCCTTCATTTCCTCTTGGACGACAGGTACATCCGCATACATCAGACATGTCAAGCTTCACACGACCCGAAGCGAAAATGCACGGCCAAACTGGCCCGCCTCTTCCAGCTCGGGCGCAGGCTCTGCTGCCTCGGATGTATGCTGCACCCAGAAGTGTCGGATGTCGGACGGCTCTGACAAGCAAGAGTGCACGTATAGTTCGGCGCAGAACCCTTTGGATTTCCTAACCAGAATATGACTCGTGTGACAATAACCAATAATGGTGAGTATGCGCAGTAGTAATAGCATGATCAAAGCCTTTGCCCACAGTGGGAAAAGGTTGGTACTGCAGTGCTCAATTAAGATGGAGGTGAAAGGTGGCTTATGCCAAATAAGTTGCAACGGGATGAGCTCAGTTAGTTTCTCGCTCAGGCTCAGAGCGATAAACGCCTTGTGTATACGTCCTAAGCTGACGTGTCCGTCAGATATCTCCTGGGTATCGGGAGCCCGTTGCCGGGGCCAGGCGGGCTCCGAAGAGCTGGGTATTGTCTGACCGACTATACGGATCAGGGCAAATGCACTCCTTTATCCAAATCCTTCCTTCCTAAATACGGCTCCTTCTCATTCTCCTGTATACGAATCCTCCTCATCCTCCGGTCGTCGTTTATGCGGAGTATGACCTTCGCGTCGTCGAATATATTGTCCTGAAGCAGACCTTGACCTAGACTCTACATCCGCAGTTCCTGGCGACGTAGGCAGGAGGTGTGCAAAACATGAATTAATACTAGCTAATGCAATCGCTCTACGGAGAAGTGCATGCACTGCATAGCACTCACTTTTCAAACGTGGAGTCGCAGCTCCAGCTGGGTCCAGGTGCAGGGACAGAAATGTTCAGAAAGTCGGCCGAAGCCGGGCAGGCAGTCCGATCACAGAGCTGGTAACAGAACAGCTGCTGAGATTATGACGGAGGCCGCGGCCAGCCAAACCATACGTTTTACATGTGCGGCAGAAAGCAGCAGAGCCGTCTACGTTGCCACTCAGCACAGAGTTGTTACCAAACAGCTCGCCACGCAGAAACGTTGGTGTCGTGCTTCAGAACGTGCTTCAGCTTCGAAGACTTGTTCCGTGCCAGAGTGAAGCCGCCTAGACTCAACATGTTTTGCGGGAAGTGGATGCTGCGGCAGCCTTTTGGTCAGCTTCATCACAGCTGTCATCAGAAGCAAAAACAAATCCACTGGAGCTGCTGCTCTCATCATCCATCGTGGTCTCAACAGCCTCAGAAGCCACAGCAGCAGGCTCGGAAGCGTTGCTGCCTGCAGAACAGTTCAACCTGTCAGAGGGGCTGGAGACCACAGAGGCCGAGTCAGCCACACTAGATTTCGCGTGGGATCATTGCTCAGGGCCTCAGCATGAAAAAAGCATGTTGACATTTTAAAAACATTCTGAAGCAAATGCGCTCATTTACTCAAGACCTCATCTGTGTGACCTGCCCGTTGCTTTCCGAAACAATGCACCCGCTTCAAGTACAGCCGGGCCGAGACGGCAGACGCGAAGCGGTTAAAAAGACGTACTAGTCTCCCCATAACGCAGCCCCAAATGTACTCACCAGTGTTCCCAAGGATCCCTGTATTCACTTACTCACACATATACATATATACACCACATATAAATATAAATATATATATAACGCATACTCAGATACAGATATAGCTTATATACACACATGCCAAAACCTGCAATGTCAGCCCTAATTACTTCACATACAGCCATGCATACAGAGGTACTCTCTAAAATCAGACTTTGATTTTCCCACCAGTCGGCTTCTGCTTTGCACTGATCCGCAACTCGAGAGGACGCAAATTTGCTAATTTCAGAGAACAATAGACTCGGCCGCAGGCCTCGGTCTCGCCTACAGGCCTGGAGCGCTGTCCAGAGCCAACAGATTCTTGCTCACGTCTTGCACTGCTTCGGGCATACGAGCTCAAGATTGTCTGAAGCTGAATCGGACCGAAGACCTTCAAGTCGGATGCGGTGAAGACCCACTAGCTCACTTCGCGCCTTGTGCGATGCGTCTGAGCTCCGACCCATACCCTGGCAAGGCAAAACGAGATCTATCCAGGTGCCGTGCACCACAGTGTGCTTTAATCGCATTCTTGAGACCAATGTAGGTCGTACGAAATTGGGGGGGCTGAAGCCAAAGAAGGGCCCAGAGAAGCACTCGCAGCTGTGAAATCTGCTGGTGCCGGCCCAGGGCTCAGCAGTTAACATGCCACAACTCTTGAGATGTGGCTGCTGCGCATTCTGCCTTGGCATGTACTGATGTAGATGGCAACGGATACACGCCCAGCCTCATCGAAACTAATTACATACTACCTTCATACAAGCTGGTACAGACTTGCCGTAGGCTCGCCAGTGCCATGTGAAGTAGTGGACATGCCGTGAGAAGAAACCGAAGGAGCAATGCACGCGAAGCCGCGAATCGAAGCCATTGCAGCCTCTTTGCCGAGTTCTCCCTCGAAGGTGGCTCCTGCAACCGTTTGCGATGCAGCCCAGTGCAGCCTCTCCAGGCTTCCAAACTGTTCTTGTAATGTTTCCTGTAGCGCCCTCCCATTGAAATCGGGGGTCTATGCGGCAACACATGCAGAAAGTAGCCCAGACTTTTTTCTGATGGTCAGAGGCCTCGTCAGGTTCTGTCGGGAGCTCCGCTGCACTCCATTCCACCTTCTCCACAGACTGGGGAGCGGGGCGGCGAAATCAAGTGGGTGACAGGGGAGATGCGGGCACAATTGGTATGAAGGCACAAGCGATTGATTGCTCTTCGAACTGGGCGTTCTGCGTGGGGAGCTTTGAGGTGTCGCTCTAAAGGTGTTGAATGCTACCCAGTGGCAAACTTCACGGAACCACCTCGCAAGATACCTAGTTCATGACGATCACTAGCATACTAACAAGTCAACGGCCAAGGGCCAAAGAAACTCATTTCCCGCCTGTAATTCTGAAGCCAGAACGGGGGCCTCAAGGGTTGGCCATCACACTATGCATAAACCTAATCAAGGATCCCTGGCCCGATGCGCTTTGTCAGCACAGGCCCCTGCTGCATGAGCAGCTCGTGAAATTCGTGCCCGTTCACGTGCGCACTGCGCGCACTGGCCAGGGTTCCAGCGATGTGTCAACTTGGGAAGCTCGAGGCCCCTGCGGGTTATACCTGGTCTCGCGCCAAACCTCGCGTGTGGGTGTCGCGGAACGTAAGAAGCATCGCAGGCCGGCTGCAGAGTCTTGTTGCAGCTGGGTGCAGCTGCAGCGCGCAGTCTGGAGGAACTGGAATAGCCTCTTTTGCCTACAACATTGGTCTGTGATTGCAGGGCGTCAACAGAACCCTGTTGCCCATTCGCGACAAAGCCATGAGCGCCGTGGAATGGGCATGGTGTTAATTCCAAGTCCACACGACTGCCTCGTGCGGAGCCCTCCCTGTTTGTTGCGCTCGCAAGCACCGTGTACCGAAAAGGAATGAAAAGGAAGCACTCTTGTATTTGTATCGTCGGCTCATGCGACAGTGCAATTAAAGCTGTTGTTGTACTGCTCGAGCTGCCTGGGTGCCGTAGTACTGCAAAATACCTGGCAAACTGTGCTTGAACCGCTTGGAGTCATAACTTCAGACAGCTTCTGTCAGGTGATTTAGAACACTGTCCAGTCCAATGCTCTGCGCCTTCCACAAGCTCGCGGCGGGCAGCCTGCAACAGTGAAAACACTGAGCGGGCTTATGCCCTGGCAAGAGATTTCTTCCAGCTTTTAAGTCCCTGGGGCTGGCTCAGCACTCTGCACTTCTCGCCAATGCAGCCCCCGTAACCTCGACTGCACATGCAGCACCAGCAATGTCGATGGCGAGCCTGTCACAGCAGATCGACAAGACTGCCGCCACATACCAAGCTGCTCCATGGCAGTCAATCAAAGTATTGATCTTGCTTAGATCGTCTTATCTTGATTAGGACATTACGTAAGTCTTGACAACCTCTCAAAAAGGCAGGTGTGCCCGGCAGGCAGCCCATGCTTCCTGCCAACACGTCACGCACAACCCAGCTAAGTGGAGCTTGCTCGACGTCATGTTAGCTGAAGTGCCAGGTGTTGAAAAGTCAGGGCTTGAGCTCTCGTACACGCTTTTCGGAGCAACATGGAGCAACGATCCAACGAGGTCAGCGGCCTGACTTCTGACAATCTCGCCGATGCCAAATCAAACTTGGCTGCCAGAATGTCCAGGTCACCCTGCCAGTCCAACCAGAAACTTTGCAGAAAGCCTTCAAGACTGCGAAACTCATACCATTGTTGTGAAAGTGGACTCTCTGTGACGACGTTGCCGAAGCGGCTTCTTCGTCTGACGAAGAACGAGTGCTGTGCTCGCCTCCAGGTCATGCCTTGCTAGGGCAGACAAGGACCGCAGCCATGCGGGTGATGCCCGGAATGTGGCCTGCACCAGGAGTGCAAAGGAAGAGGATGGAGATCTGATCCATGGAACCCTGCCTGTTCCCCTTGCGACTCCAGCGTGAAGCCACTGGGCCTGATGTGTCCGGCGTCGGTCAAACTATGAGCCCTGACAAGTTGCGGGCAGCTCATGACAGCTCGACGACGAATGCAACATTCACACCCTGCTTTCCTGTGTACCTAACCCAGAGCGCCTTGAAGCCTTGATGCCCCGCCCTGCTTGCGAAACGCTGGTATGAGACCAGCGGAAGCGACGAGGTTCTGGATGGCTCCGCAATTCGGGGAGCCTCGCGTGCCGATGCGGATGCGCATGTTCACCACCGACCTGCTCAAAGCAGTGGCCCGACCGGCGTTCAGTCTGCTCACACATGTCACAAACCATAAATGAACAGTTGTCAGAGCCGGACCTCATAAAGCTCCAAGCAGCCGCAGGGTGGTGGCACGAGGCGTGCCTGCTGTCGTCTGTTGCGAAATCGCTTCAAGAAAGGGCGGCAGTACCTCCATGCGCTGATCGCCACGAGCCCAGATGTTGTAGTCTGCATCTGGAAAGAAAGCGTTTGCATCCTCGTGAACTTGCGCCAAGCCCTTTCAAGGGCCTTGCGTGCAGCATGCCTACTGGCACTGCAAAAAACATGCGAACCTACAAGCATTGCAGTGTCCTTGGTGCCTGCCCATTGCCGCTGCTGCTGGTTTATGGCGAGCCTCGAACATCTCAGCCAAGCATGTGTATGACAGTGAGCCCGTCTTTGGCATCATCCTTCCGGCTCGGCACCCGGCATCAGGTTGTCGTAGGCCTCTTTCGCATAGTCAGCTGTCTCCTTCGCCGTGTGTGGCCGATTGCAGAGGCACGAGCTGCTTCGTTGGGAGGCTCCTGCTCAGGCGATGCCAGCAGCTCATCCATGGCCATCCGGAAGTCATTCAACAGTCCCCTGAAAAAAAAGGCCAGGGTGCCCACCGGAAACTCACAATCCGAAGAGCCGCCACAAAGAACCTGATTTTCCGAGCTGCCGGCATCTCCGGAGGACCCCACCAGCCAGGAGCGAAGGATAAGACCATGGGCCGTGCCTCGGCTTACGGAGTCTACGGCTACGGAGTCTACCGCATGGCTAGTGCCGACTGGCGTTGCTGTGGCACACAAGCTTTCCGCACGGACCTCCATGTCTATGTACAGAGCTGCAACTCTTTCACAGGACGATCCACTCATGATTGCAATTGTTGCAACAGAATGAGCTGTCCGCATGTTGCGCTGAACCGCATACGCCTGTCTAAGTGCCGGCACTTGCGCAACTACAAGGTGATACCCTTGACAACTCGCTTCTGACCGACTCTTAGCTCAACAAGCTGGACTAATGCTCTCAGCTTCAGATGAGGAGGAGGACGCGGACGAGGCTGCCTTCAGGCTAGTCAACGTGGCTCAAGGCTTCCAAAATCCCCCTCAAAGGCGCCCTGCGCTTTGCACAATAAGAGCATCGGCTGCTGCTGTCCGCAATGAGTCACATGTGCTAACGAGTCAAAATCATCACGATTCACACAATGCCAAGCTCACATGGATTTCTAGGTGACGGTATAGGTGACGGTAACTAGACACTCAAGCTAACCCCGAGACCAAACCCGATGCTGACCCAAATTCCCAGCCAGGGGAAGTGGACGCGCAAAAGACCAAACATGGTAACACACGCTGCTACGCGCTGCCTGTGTTCGGCGTCTACCCGTCTCTCGCCAGGCCTCCCGCGCATCCTCGGCATCTGCTATCCTGAAAAAATTGGAAGCTTGCTAGCGACTACAAGGGCTGCATTCATAAAGCGTTACCACGCATCGTGAGGACAGATAGACAGTACGGGATTAAGAAACAAAAGACAACCATGGCAACACCGCGCTTCCTGTCTCTGTTCACAGGATGGTGCATATTGTTGGTGCTGCGCGCATTCGATAGTTAGTCACTTTGCATGCAGTGGGCCAAAGTTGGGACAACTGCTGCTAAATCTCACGAGAAATGCTCTCCTCAAAATCACGAATTCCTTGGACTCTTTGCCATCTTCGTGGAGTTGTCACATGCATCCGTGCTGTTCCGAAGCTCGAACAAACTCCCATCGCGAGGAGACCATCTCAACGAATTTTCGCGGGGCCCACGCTGCCGTCTGTGTGACAAGGGTGCTTTGTCTTTCAGGGATCCTTGGTTTTGGCCGTTCTTCGGCTTTTGAATGCTTTTGAAATTATGCTTGAAGGGTCCGGATATAGTGTTGTCGCCGCGGTGAAAGCCTCAAGCCTCTCATCAGAATTTGGGCCTTCCACACTCCCATACTCTATTTGCTAATCGGCAATATCTCACATTTTTGGACGTTTAGCGCTTCCCCATGTCTTGAAGCATGTGTTGTGCAATAGGGGCCCCTGGTTTGTTTGTTTGCGAACCGACAACGACAGCCCTGCTCTGTCTCCAGAAAGCTCTCAGCAAAGCACTGTGCGTCAAAAAGCCTCGTTGAGCGCTGACATCTAAGCTGGAGGAGGGATTCATGCGCGTCGCAGACTTCGACAAGACTCCCAGCGAAGCCGCTTGGATGTTGCGGCTCCGCAGCCGGACTGGACTTTCTCTAGACCTTCTGTGCAACCGCACAAACCACAAAGAACGCGTGATGCTTCAAGCATGCTTGCTACAAATGACGTTTGTCTTCATGTGCGCACGATCGTGCGCGTGTGGAGGCTCTCCGTGATGGCAGCCGGAGGTCAAACAACCAAGTGGCTTGCAAGATCGTTGAGGCGAGAGACTCAATCTCAATATCTTGGTAACGACGGCAGTGCAACTTGACGTGGTTCATTACTGGGTATGCTGCATGGTTCCGTGACGACACTCCGAGTAACAACTTGCGAAGGTGCTCTACAGCAGCTATGCATCCCTCACTCGCCTGCCTTGCAAGGTAGATGAAACCAGCGACACACTTTGCGACTTGCCAACGCAGGAAAGCCGTTCCCTGTAGGTCACTAAACCGGAGCTCCGAAGTCAAGGCCCAAGGCACTGTTTCAGTGCGGAGATGCGCGAGAAGCAGCTGGCCTACAAGAATGCTGAGCTCCACATGCACTTCTGCGTACTTGCTCTTGGGCATTTCGGCTTGGTACACAGGTTTTAATCGCAGCGTGACAGCATGACAGCAGGCTCGCAAAATGCACTTTTCTCGAGCACATCCACAGCCCAGCGAACCCGTGAGACCAGTGTGGCAACATCTGGGCATCTGTCCTGGCAGGCTCCAAAGCACAGCTTGCTCAGGCAGACGATAAGCTACTATTATCATGCTTGTGCTGGGCATGTGAGAAGCTACTGTTGCTAGCCAACGTTTTGGAACAACCCCGTTGGAGCTGAAATCCTGGCCCAAAGCATCCGTGGCCCTCGCAATGATTTTGGAGCCGTTTTGGGAGTGCCTCCCATCGCTCCGCCATGGCCCAGGAGATAGCGGACCCCAAGACTTCCAGAAAGAGCTCGGGCAGCTCCTGCAGGTTGTCTCTACCGTCTCACAGTCAAAGTGGCAACACAAAGGCACACCTCCTCTCCAGCTGCCTCTTGCAGCTGCACCTACAGCGAACTGGCAATCTGAGTGAAACGAAACGACGCTGCCGCTGCCCTCTCAAGGCTTTCTCCGCTAAAACTTGGCCTTGAGCAACTCTGGCGTTCGGTCGGGCAGGCCCTTCCTAAGCAACTTCCCAAGGCGTGATCATGCCCACAACATCTCACGACTCACCAAGGCCCCAGTTGACAGGTTGGGGCGCCTTGTCCGCTTCAGCAGCAGCCAAAGCAATGTTGCTGCACATCCTAAGCAAACGAATGGAATCTTGGACTCTGGAATTTCAATCACCGACGCACGTTGTTGTTGCCAGGGTGCCAAACACATCACTGCGAGGACCGAATCGCCCCTCCACAAGCTCCGCTGCCTTCAGGAAAGGATCATGTAGTGCTGAGCTTGCGGGGCCCAACACCAAGGCCTGGAAGTCGCCTCGGCGCTGGAGTTTCGGTGCCGAGCCGCCTTCTGCGAGAGCACTGCAGGCCCAGTCCACCAGGCAGGCCTCGAAGCGCGCTTTACAACATAGCCTCCAGCCTCGGTACACTATAAAATCTATAAACTCTGAACCATGCTATGCGGCCCAAAGCCCAACCTGCACAGTCACCATGTGGCACTGACTGTCCCAAGCGACTCGCTATCGATAGGGTTTTCCACGGCCAGTATCGTATGGGTAAAATGTGGTATCGCAGCCGATTCTGCATCAAACATCATCCAAGGTGATGCTGCTAGGATGCCGCGAGGGCATGCCTGTGTAGAAATGATTTAGTCGGGGACCGCCCTGCACCGCGACGACCGGGCTCGGAACCTGTGGAGAGTTTGCGTCTGCCTGCTCCGGCTCCTCGCATGAGTTTGAAATGCTTTGCAGAAAGCAGCTGCGAGTGGTGGCGCAAAGCATGTGACAGCGAGGTCCTCCTTGCAGAGGACATTCCACGGGTTCACATCACAGTGGATGACGCCCCTCCTGGTTCAGGGCACAGGCACGAAGAAAACTGCGCAGCTTGCAGCCTCCTGGCATTTGGGCTTGTTACAATGTATACCAAGAGCCATCATATCAATATCAACAACAGCAACTATCTCACAACTATAAACAATAGTAATACATTTGACAGGTTTGCCAATATTCTTATTACGCTAGCGTGGATCCCGTAGACCACCAGAAGACCCAGCAGACACCCACACCACCAGGAGACCGCTGGAAGATGCCAGGAGACCAGCAGGAAGCCACCAGGAAACCACCTGGACCTAAAAATAAGAAGGGTAACTATTGAGGCTTACGTTCCACTTACAACTCCGTTTCCACTGTGAAATATCCTTGCACCTCCAAGTATGCACTGTAGGGCCCTGAACAAATACACATACTATAAGTAGTCCCATGTTTGTGACATGGTTTTGATATCAAAAACTCCTCAATATAAGTATTTACTAAGCCCTGCACACTGTATAAGCTACCATCAATATGCTCACGCGGACGTCGCTCTATAAGGATCCTGCAGCTGACACACTTGTAAACTAACCATGGTAATAAACCAGTTCTAGCCCCCAAAATATACAATAAATATGAGTGCAGCTGCTAGCAGCTCATAAATGTCGCCCATGCAAACCTCCCCCAAAGCAACTGACCTCTTCATGTGGTTGGAGTAGTAGATGTCATGTAGCTGGAAAGCAGGGTCCGGCGGGCTTTAGGGAGCAGCACATACACACATACACACATACA